TTAAAGGGACAGTCATGTGTTGGTGTAAATGGTTTCTTGCACCTAAAGCATAATCCTTTCGCCCGCAGTTCTGCAAACTCTTCCGGCGGAAGTCGAGTGAACTGAGAGCGTGTCGTAGGCTGCCCAGACAAACCTGACTTTGCCCCGGAGGTTGTCCACTATCTTTCGCAAAGCTGCCCTCCGAACCCTGTAAGCTGCCACCAATGGCAGTCAACGGGGAACCTGTGTTTGCCCTTAAAAGGCTGCTAGAACGTACCCCTACTGAATGATAATTCAGGCTGCCACTTTCTCCACTTTGGACGGACAGATTATACTCCACTTCGCGAGCTAATTACATAGCCATCTCCAGGTTGTTTGGTCAGAGCAATCGCAGTGAGCTTCGGATTATCTCCTTAAGACCGCTCATGTAATATCCTAAATAGTGCTCATCGGGTAACCCTAGAACTTGGCTTGCTAGCTGGACAAACAAGATATTGTAATCTTCTATAGACCCAATTTGCTTAACTCCGGACAATCGTTCATACTTATTCCCCTGAAATCGAGAATCAAATCTGTCCACCAAGGCTTACTTGAAATCTGCCCAAGTCATCCCAGGCCTGCGCGATCTCAGCCAGGTCACCCAGTAAAGCGGTCCTCCTTCCATAGCTACCATCGCGGCAGCCACCTTCTTTTCCGGTAAAGTGTTGTGTAATTCGAACTGTTGCTCTACCCGAGCGATCCACCCAATTGGGTATCCCCCATCGAACGACGGAAGCAGCGTTATAGTTGGATTGCTCAGCACGCCTTCTCCATGCAGCTCGGTTGCCGGGATTCGACCCACGTCATCCGCGGCTTTCTTCGGTGTGACCGGCGGGACCATCGCCTGGGTCAACGCCGCTAGTGAGGCGATGATCTCCGACAGCTTGCCACCATGCTCTGCCTGTTCGGCCCTTATCCGGGTCACTTCTTCTCTCATACGATTTTGTTCGTTCTCCCGCTCTGTCAATCGATCATTCTGAGATCTCGTCATCTTGGCGGGACGGGATCCGGCAGGTCGGACCAATTGATAAGAACAGAAAAATAAAATCAACGGGGTAACCCGTTGCCCAAAATAATCAACGGCTGGATCCGTTGCCCAGAGCTAAATAGCTAAAACCAATATTATTAATGCTTGATTTGAATAAGCCTAGGCAGGGGTTTATATAACCCTTACATCCAAAACTGATTAGGAAACTAAATCCTAGTAATAAGAAGCATAATAGGAGTCCTAATTAAACCATTCAAGGAAACTAAATAGAAATAGGAAACATCTAATTAATAGAAGTCCTAATTAAATCATACTAGGAAACAAAATAAATTAGGAAACAAAATAAAAGGAATAATTAAAATTAATTAAATTGCTCGCAGACAGCCCACGAAGGTGGGCTCAAGCCCGTCCCGCCCCATGCTCTTCCCGCTTCATATCATGGAAAAACTATCAGACCTAACATGAATCAAAGTCACAAAGGCTCCAAGCTTGTTTGGGACATAATCCTTCTACCCATGTATGCGAAATACATTTAACTGATGGAAGAACCGAAGAACAATACGTCATTGAGTAAGAAACTCATGGTAGAAATTAGTCTAGCTAATTAGAGATTAATGAACTCAAATCATGGTGAGGAGGTTAGAGGGATGTCAGAAACTTCTCTGTAGTGGAACACTCTCCATCCCCATCGAAAGTTCTTTCACTGACTGCCTGTGTATAGCTTGGGGGTGGGTGGAGTCTGCATAACTTGCGTAAATTAGATATATAAATATATTTATTTACTATTATTTAATTTAAAGGTTGTGTTAAGTCATCTGGAGGCTGTAAATAGAGTTTTTATATAAACATTGCAAATATGAGTCGGGCCTAATACAATCACCCCTTCCAGCCCAACACGGGGAAGATGAACACTATACAATTACCAGTTGAAGCTCATCCCCGTAAGCTTGCCATAAACATCAAGCTTTCTTCTTGAAACTACCTTAGTTAAGATGTATGCACCATTCTTGTTTATGTAAACTTTCTTCAGTTTCATCAACTTTTCTTCAATCACATTTTGCAACCAATGATGTCAAACATCAATATTCTTGGTTTGAGCGTGATAATGAAATTCAAGGCCCTATTATTTTCCAAATATTAGAGTCCCTATCTTTGATAACCACAATATGGGTACATCTTTTACTTGTAGTATATGTGAACAAAGTAAACTGGTCAGCCGCATATGCGCGTTACAGGACCCAAGATGTGTGGTCAAATAAACACCCGATACAAAATAATTAATTTATTTGAAATACATTTAATTTTACATTTTCCAACAAAAACCGGGCCCTAGGCCTCTCTATGAAGTTCGTAACCCCAAAATAGGGTTATGGAGGCCTTATTTATATAAAACAGATAAATTCAGCTCAAACTGGGATTTCTGGAGGTAGGCACGATGCTAGGCACGATTGTGCCTGGCCTCCGTGCCTCCGGAGTATCGCGCGTCTCGTATGCAGGCACGATCGTGTCTCCCTGCCAGGCACGATCATGCCTGGCCTCCAGTAGGTCCTCGCGTGTTTCTTCTTTAGGCACGGTCGTGCCTCCTCCCAGGCACGGTCGTGCCTGGCTTATTCTTCATCATTTCTCTTCGTTTCTTGCTCCGAGTGTTCCCGAATGCATCCAAGATCGATCCAAAGGCTCTTTCTTCATCAAAACTTCGTTGTGAACCTCCTGGTGGCCTCCAAAACTCTCAAATCTCTCTCGAATGCTCTTCAACTCTTCTCGATTGCTTCTCAAGCGCCGATGCCGGACTCTAATTTCCTGATTTTGACTCCAAACAATACAAAACTCGAACCAACGCCTGGTAAACATAACTTGAGCTAAAATTGAGACTTGTGACACCTAAAAGCGATGAAAACCATCAAAAGTCGATCCCAACACGCATAAATGCGTGTTGTAATACGAACTTATCAAATATGAGAATCTCATCACTGAGAGGCCAGTCCTAAAATAATTATATCGGCGCTGAGGGGTCAGACGTAACATGAGGACCTCAACACTGAGAGTCTAGTCCTATATATGAACATGACGGTCATCGTCTCAGAAGAGAAAGGGTGATCCCGATCGTGAGAGCACGACATCGACATTGAGGAGCCGATCGTGACATGAAGACAAGGCACAAGGAGCCTATTTGAAGATGATTATGTCGGCGCTGAGGGATCGGGCGTAATATGAGGACCACGACACTAAGAGGCTGGTCCTAAATATATAAGCAACGATCGTCATCCATGAGGTGGAAGGATGAGACCGGTCTTCAAATGGTGTGATGATTGTGAATACATGCCCTTGAGGCACGGGTACGGCCACCGGTCCGAGGAACTAGCCCACTACTTGGGCGTTCCCCATAGACAAGCCATTTACGGACAAGATCTACTTTAGTTTAGCCACACGAAGCACCTGGCTAGGAGGCGGTCTTAAGTGGTTTGAGATGACACGATAATTGTCTCCTGAGATGACTCCATGACTACCTCAGGTACCAAGGTGTCACTAGCCATTCTAAGGTCGGGTGTCATGTGAGGCCAAGGGCAATCCCTAGGTTTATATGCATCGTCAAGGTTATGCCCTTTGGAGACGCCTTGATCATCAAGTAAAGACGATCGATATGCTGGTTGAGGAGCCACATAAAATTATGGTCATTAAATAAAGATGACGGTGGTTACCACTTGATGGATAATATCCATACCATATAAGATCTAGAAAATGGTTCAAAACAAAGAAGATAATGTGTTATAAGATAATGAATGTCCTCCTATTTTATAAGACCAGGCTCTATGATAAAGAATTCTTCACTTTTCTTGGAGTTATTGTCCAAGGACATTCATCTTTCTTATACTTCACAATAAATCTAAGAGAATATGTTTTCACAAATTTCAAGTCATTTCAATTTATAATTGCATAATTATGCAATGCTTCTCTAAATTGTTTCTTACTTGAAAAAGTCATACCTAAAGAAAATGTTAGATTTTCCATTTCTGTACTAGCTCTAAAAATAGGTCATTGCCTTTTGAACTTTCAGCATCACTATATGAATCTTCTTGAGAACATCACTAGATAAGTTGAGACCAGCCAACCTTTTTCTTCATTACATCCAATAACTAGTTGCTCGTCATCTCTCATCAACCCAACATTTTTATTACTGAAGTCCACATTGTGTTCAAACTCAATACTATCTGATAGAGTATATGGGCCTGGACCCCATGGCCCACATACTCAACGGCCCAAAAGACACCAGCGGGACGCCCGCATCGGCCAAAGGCATGTGACGTCCAGGAAAGAAGATGTCGCCTAGATCCTTGGGCAAGACCCAGGATCCGCGTCGTCCATGGCCCGCATCGTCCATGGACCGCGTCGTCCATGGACCGCATCGTCCATGGACCGCATCGTCCGGACTTCGACCAGGCAGAATGTATTTTTTACTGTATTGTCTAAGTGTTGTACACAGCCCATTAGTGGCCTTATTTTGCCCAAAGATGCATGATTATTGTAATGGGCCTCCTAAGCCCAGGGCTAGGGGCCCAAATCCACATTTTCACCTATAAATAGACCCCAAGGGGCTAATTATAGGGGGGGTTCCAAGTTGAGAAATATAATTACTCACTTTCTCTCTCTAGCTCTCACTTCTCTCTAGAATTAATACTCTATCACTATCCATATTAATTTCCTTCATATCACCGTATGAGTATTTCTCTATGTTAGAATGAGAATAGTTACAGTTACTCTCATCATCATGGGCGGAGATAGGGGTGGTCATTCTAGGCCTTGGCCCGCCCCAAATTTTAAAAATGACTTAATTTTTAGTGTGAAAAATTCTGTTTAATTTTTTTCCAAAAATATTCTTTGTACTGGCCCAATCTGGCCCAGTGCCCTGACTCCACCCGTGCTCATCATCATCATCATCTTTTTTTGATGCAAAATACCTATATCTATGAAATAAAAACCACCAAATCATAATTTAGGAATCATCTTTTTATTCATACTCCTAGAAATTTTCTCATAAAAACTTGGTTGATAAGACTGAAAATCAAGTTACCAAATGGGCTCTATTATCATGTGTTAGGTATCATCCAAATAGCAGGTGGCACTATAAACCTTGAATTTGTCTTGTAAAGTGGCGACTCCATGGTACCATCCTCCAGGTTGAACACGCCCATGTCATTATTTATAGATCTATGATCGGTGAAATAGATCCGGTTTCGCTTGTAGCCATAATCACCGGGGTTTGAGAGGGAAAAAGACTGATTCCTACCCAAAAAAACTGCATTGCCTTCAAAATTACGCACTTGTATCCAACCAACCGTATCACTCATCAGCTTATGCACTTCAAATCCGTTGCACCCATATGACTCTCCACGAAAATGTTCATCAAGAGCCTGATGTAGATCTTGGTTATCAATACCAATACAAGCATCATCATCTTTTCCTGCAGCAAACCTACATCGCATGAGTTGTTGCATGACTCTATATAGTTCCCCCCTGCATTCCACAAGATACCATTGATGGGCAGACAGTGTCTTTGGTGGCGGACCATAAACACTAATCAGTCCTGGTCGAGAAGCAGTAACGTCGCAAGAAAATATTTCCCCGCTTGCTGAGACAATGTAGAACTGTCCCTTGAAATAGACTGCGTCCGTGTAAGATTGTGGGGGAGTTGTCGGATCATGGTTACTCTGAGGCCGAAACATGTATCTCCAGACTTTGTCGGATACATTGCAAAAAGCAAAGTTCTTGTACCCATAAATAATAAAGATAAAGCAATTTGGGGCTGTAGGAACTGTTGACAAGATCGCTTTGCTGATATACATATCAAGCACAGCCAACTTGATCTCCTTTTCATAAAGACTAAGCATGCAGAGCTGAAGACCACTCAATCTGTAGTACTTACACATTAACAGGTCTATGGAAGTGCACGAAAAAGGATTCCATATGTAGATCTTCACGTATTTGGATATCATGACAAGCCATCCCTGGTAAGATCCAAGACAGATGTCTCTGGGTGGAATTCTGATTTGAGGCAAAAAGCCTTCTATTTCAGCAATGTCCTTTCCGATCTGAAATGCTAGAAGAAGCCGTCTGTGTTGGTGGGCGATTGATGAGCAGCTAGTGTTTTTGTCCGGAACAATCAGACAAGGAGCACCCTTTGGGACGAAGATGCTGAGAAACAATAGTGCTGCCCTTCTCCAAGATCTACAAACGCACCCAAAGCTGCAATGATCTTTCCCGATAACAATCAATTGTAGAATTATCACTAGGATATCATCGGGGAGTGCAGCCCAGTCTCCCATGCTGTCAACTGTCGATCCTGAAGTCTAGTGATTGTAGATTTGTAGATGACGGGCAGCAGAATATTGCACGACCGACTTGATTCACTGAAAGGGCTGATTTTTTTAATGTAAAAGCACTTGGGTCCGGACTCCTGAAACTGTAATTCTGTGTAACAAGAGTGGCCAACTTGCTGTAGCTAATTAGCTATCCCCTGCGGCCCTCGCTTCTCAATTCTCAGATAGTGAGCTTCTACTGTTCTGCAATAGCAAGTTGCCGCCTTGCAGCCTGCAAGCCAGCCAATCAGCCACCACCAAGGTCGGAAGTTAGAACTCAGAAGACGCCGGCTAAAGAGTCTTTTTAACGTTTCCGTAGCCGCCTAAATCGTAGGTCTGCATAGTCTCCTCGAAAATTGCTTCGAATCGATGAAATTTCGATACACTCGGATATGAAGAGCCAAAAAAATTTGCAGATGAAGAGCGCTTGCGACGTCCAATACGCGATACACTCGGATGAGGGGCGCCTGCGCCTGCAATCTCATTCTACAAGTGCACGCATTAGGGCTACACATACGGCGAGTTGAGTTGCTTATATTTTTTGGGCCTAGCGGATTTGTTCGGGTTGGTTAAGTGATACGCAAAATAAGTTGGTAAACCATGCATGAACGAGTCGGGTAGGGTCGGGTAATGGGAAAAAAATCACTTCGGCTTGCATCTTTCATGTGCAAAATTAATGTAACCAATTTAAATCTCGATTAACTTGTTTCCAAAACACACAAACAAATACAAGTACTCGTATGTTTTATAAGCAAAAACATTATTAGGTAATAGTATTAAAACATACTTCACGGAAGTTCATTTAGAAGGAAACATAAATATATAATAATACCTAGTCAAAATGATAAATGTTTAATTATAATTCTAATATCATAAAGTCCTAGATAGAGCACATTGGTCTTAAATTGAAATTATCCAAGAAAACATTGTAGCATAATAATAGTAAAATGAATTTCGGCCGGGTTGGGTACTATCGGGTTTGAGATTTTAATTCAGCAACCCTACCCATTAGGTGCAGGTTCAAACATATTTAACCCATGAATATTTTTAAAAATCAAATACCCGATTAAATAGGGTCGGGTAGGGTTGGGTCGGGCGGGTTATGCGGGTTCGGGTTATTCTTGTGCAGCCCTAGCACGCGTATATTTAAAACAAATTACGAACAAACAAAATTAGGGATGTTTTCTTGAAGTACATTCCGCTTCTTTGAATGATAGCCACATCTCTTAAAAGAAGAGTTAGCCATTTTTAGAGAAAAGGGTCAAATAAGGCCACGTACTAACCAAAAATTGTCAAATAATGCCTTATTTAAGAGGTTCTGCCCGGCCGTCTCCATTTGGGGTGGTTCCCGGTGGAATTTTTTGACGAAATTTTTTGAGCATTTTATTCAGTAAGTCTAGTTTACTCATACCAAATTTCAGCTAAAACTTCAATCAGGAAGGCATTCAAATGAATTCTTGAAGATAATTGCACAGTTAAAAGCGCAGTTATCTTCAAGAATTCATTTGAATGCCTTCCCGATTGAATTGTTAGCTGAAATTTGGTATGAGTAAACTCCACCAAGAACCACCTCTAATGGCGAAGGCCGGACGGAACCTCATAAATAAGGCCTTATTTGACCTTTTTTGGTTAGTATGTGGCCTTAGTTGCCCCTTTCCCCCCATTTTTATTAGAGTTAATTATCAAAATAGGACTACAAGTCATTCACTTTGCACAAATAGGACCAAAAAATAAACTATGTTTCCATAGGACTAATTATGTGTGTCTTGGACAAATATACTCTTATACCTATTGGAATGTTTTAATTCATAATAAAATAATAAAAAATAATAAAAATTCGTAAAATATACCAAATATTAATAAAAATATTTTGAATAATAATAAATTTAAAAAAAAATTGAAAAAAAAAATAAAAAAAAATAAAAAAAAAAATGTCACCACCGCCTCTGCCGCCCCAACACCACCACCTCTAGTCATTTGGGGAAAAAAATGTCAAATTTATTATGAATTCCATATTTTTGGCATAATTCAGAATGATTTAAGATGGAAGAAAAAATGTTGGCATTGTCAAAGAGAAATATGCCATATTTTTGGCATTTTCCGAAAAAAATGGAAGTTTGTAGGAAATATGGCATTTTTTTTAACGGTCGGAGGTGGTGGTGCAGGGAGGTGGTACCACCACCTCCTGTCACCGGGGTAAAAAAATGCCAAAAAAATTATGAATGTCATATTTTTGGCAAAATTCAAAAGGATTCAAGTTGGCAGAATGAAAATGTTGGCATTCTCATAGAGAAATGTGCCATTTTGTGGAATTTTTAAAAAAAAAAAGTGGCATTTTTTACACCGATCGGAGGTGGTGGTTCAGGGAGGTAGTACAGGCGGTGGGAAAGGTATCCATATTTTTTTTAATTTTTTTATGGAGTTTTACTATTTTTTATTAATTTTAAAAAAAAAATTCTTATTTTTTATTTTATAAAATTTTTATTAATTTTTTTATTATTTTTCTATGAATTATTGAAAGTTTTTCGAATTTATTTATTATGAATTAAACATTTAATTATGACTTTTAGCTATCTCTTACTAATATTTAAAGGAGGAGTAAGAATGGAAGGAAGAAATGGGTATGTTTCCAATAGGACCACTATGGTCCTATTTTGGAATAAAAAACATAGCAAGTCCTATTTTGAGTTTTTGTCATAGTTTTAGTCCTATTTGAAGTAATTTCTATTTTTATTATTGGAGTTGTGTTTCAAAGCTTAGCTTCATATGCTCTTAAATTCTTCTTGAGCAAAAGATGTGTAAGAGCATCTCCAATGGTTTGGTTTGAGGACTCGCTTGCAATTTTAAAGGTAATAGCTTACCATTGGAACATTGCTTTTTCTTTTGCTTGACAAAACTAATTAGCCTAAATAAGCTACTAGCTTGAGCAAGAAGAATTATTAAATATGACATTATTAATACTCCGTAATAAACGAAGATGAAAAAGTTATAGCTAAGCATTGAAGTACATTTCAATTTTAGTACAAATGCCTTTTTGGCTAGTTAAGCTATTAGACCATTTGGAGTGGTGAGGTATTAGGAGTCCAAAATGTTAAAATGGCATTTTTGGACTCCTAATTTCATGCATTGGTTGATTGAAGAGGGTATTAAAAATGAGTTTGGGAAGAGATGAGGTCAAATTTGGAGGAATTTGGACAGCTAAAAAGTAAATGAAAAAGAAAAGAAAGTGGTGGCGCCCGCTCCAGGGCAATGTATATGGTTCACTGACGTCATGATGACCTCACACAGATGTCATCATAACCCCAAATATAACTTTAAAACTCTTATAACTTTTTTATTTGTTCTCCAAATTTTTCAAAAAATATATCAAAATTCTTGAATTTTGAAGATATTTCATATGACATCAATATGCGATATAAAAAACGAAAACAAAATTGAAGTTTTATCTATTGCAGTTTTCTTGAGCAAAAAAGAAAATGAAACACAAATTTTTAATTCATGGAACCGTCACAAATTACTGAATATTCCATAATCGAACTTTACTTAAACTTAGTTCATTTTTGTTAACAAAAAAATGTTAAAAAAGTTAATGAAAATTCTTGTTGGGTTAAGGGCCCAAGCCGAGGTCCGGCCCACTAACCCATTTTGCCAGACGAACGTCCAGTTAGAACACTAGGCCAGCCCACAGGCCCATATTCCTTGAGGATGGACGAACGTCTGGTGTTGGGGGGCTCAGGCCCAGCAGCTCATCCCGACGAACGTCTATGCAGGGACAAGGAGCAGAACCACGGGCCACCAGGGATGGCGACGAACGTCCCCAGAGCAAAGCCTGTAGTCATCGGAGGAAACCCAGTCCACATGGTGAGTATCTATCAAGGCCAGGAGACGAACAGCCGGTATCACCTGAGGGTCACTTGGAGCAATCCAACTCACTTCTCGGGTGGACGAACGTCCCCACTGATCCGGCGGGAAACCTAGATTCTGGCGGGAAGTGCATTTAATGCTAAAGATTTGGTAGTTGGGACACCAGCGGTCCACAGGCTGCCACGTCACTACAGCTACCTGCCCATTGGCGGGTATAAATAGAAGCATTTATTTCATTGTAAAGGGTTGGCAACTTACTATTCTTAGCATACTAGCTTCAGCATTCTTACTCGCAGCATTTCTAACTGCCTTGTAAGACGAACGACCGACGTGCCCTTTTAGCAAGTAGGTTGTATTTAGGGGAGTTATTACGAAGTTAATAATACCTATTTACATTGCCTGCTATTACTCTTGTTTCCTGATCCCTCTGATAGTTGTTGGGTTAGATATTCATACACTCACTCCACTCGAAACCTTTGGGCTTACGTGTTGGGTCCACGGGTTGAAGGAATAAACCTCAACACTGGCGCCGTCTGTGGGAAACTGAGCAAAAGGTTTCCAGAAACTCTTCCAAGCAGCTGCTAAGTCTACCTACAGCAAATACGATGTCAGGAAGCAACAACCAGCGTGATCTCTCCGAGCGTCTGGAGTCGAGCCGCCGGAACCGCGGCCAGAACTCGGAACTATCCGCTACTATATGGACCTCCGGAGGAAACGGGGGCATCACTGACCTCATTCCCCTGGAGGCCAGGCCGGATCCCCACCTCATGCGGGAACTCGCAGATACCATGCGTCGCTTGGCAGATGAACGGGAGGCCCGAGATCGGGTGTACTCTGCAAGCACCCAGCGAACGCCCCTCTCTCCCATACGCCGCATGCAGTCGTACGATGATACGACAGGCTCCAGCGACCACCGGCCCTCCGTCCACGAGCGGCTAGGTGGGGGTTCAGGCTCCCGTGAAACGGGAGGGCGGACCAGGGTTAGCATCGCTGCATCCAGGGCTCTCACACCATCAGTTCCTCGCCTGATTCCGCGGGGAGACGAGACCCCAAGGGTCAACACCGTTGGACGACGTTTCCAACGGCGAGGTGCGCAGATCTTCAGGCGGCCGCACGATGTTGTGGCCGCTCAGCAGAACGCCACCCCCGAAGCCGCGCCCCCTATGTCCCCCGGAAGGGCCGCACAGGACGCACGGCTGGAAGCCATGGAGAGGCAGATAGCCGAGATGAACAGGCGGGCGGACGCCGGCTCGGCCACACCCTCCTTCTCTCTCACATCACCTTTTACTCCACGGGTGATGAGCGTCGAGATTCCCCGGGATTGCAGGCCCCCGGGGAACTTGGTGTATAATGGGGCTGGTGATCCTAAGGCCCATCTGATAAGCTACCAAGGGAACCTGTCCATGCTGGGAGCATCGGACGAGGCCATCTGCAGGTTGTTCTTCGGCACCCTCAGGGGGCAAGCTCAGGAATGGTTCGGCCAGTTGAGGCCAGGCACCATTGATTCATACGAACAGCTTTCCCGGCAGTTCATGGCACAGTTTGCTGCCAGCACCACCCCCAGGAAGGATGTCACGGCACTCGCCCACATCAAGCAAGGGCGGGACGAACCGCTGGCTAGGTTCCTGGTGAGGTGGAGGGACGAGG